ACAATACAGTTAATCGTTATGAACGAGAAATTGATGAAGCACTGACTTTGATTTTGGCGCGTCGTCATCCAGCTGCAATTGACTTACGTATGGTGATTGCCATGAGTAAAGCCAATACCGATTTAGAGCGTATTGGTGATGAAGCTGCAAAAATTGCGCGTATTGCACAGACTTTATGTGAAGAGGGCGAATCGCCGCGTGGCTATATGGAAACACGGCATATTGGCAATCAAGTACGTGTCATGATTCATGATGCTTTAGATGCTTTTGCGCGTGTAGATGCAGAACAGGCATTAAAAGTTTTGTTGGCCGATGCAGATATTGACCGTGAATATCAATCCGCGACGCGTACACTGATGACCTACATGATCGAAGATCCACGTCATATTAGTCGTGTTATCAATGTGATGTGGGTATTGCGTTCACTCGAGCGGATTGGTGATCATGCACGTAATATCTCAGAACAAGTGATTTATATGGCAAAAGGTTTTGATGCGCGACATACCAGTGTTGAAGAGATTGAACAAAAGGTCCAAGGTAAATAATTGAATTTATAAACAAAAAGACCTGAATCATTCAGGTCTTTTTGTTTGGAAAATTTAAAAAGAAAATTACACTTGAGCAAGTGCTTGTTCTAAATCTGCAATCAAATCATCAATATGTTCAATCCCCACAGATAAACGCACCATATCAATACTCACGCCTGCTGCTTTTAGCTCTGTTTCATTCAGTTGGCGATGAGTGGTAGTTGCTGGATGACAGGCTAAACTTTTTGCATCGCCGATATTCACCAGACGAGTAAACAGCTGTAATGCATCGATAAAACGGGTGCCGCCTTCACGACCATCTTCAACACCAAAAGACAGAATTGCAGACGGTTTACCTTTGACGTACTTTTGTGCCAAAGCATGTTGTGGATGATCTTTTAAGCCAGCATAGTTGACCCATTTTACTTTTGGATGTGCCTGTAAATATTCAGCAACTTTTTGTGCATTTTCAGTATGGCGTTCCATACGCAAATTCAATGTTTCTAAGCCTTGTAAAATTAAGAATACGCTGAGCGGGCTGATCGCTGCGCCTGTATTTCTTAATGGAACAACACGTGCGCGGGCGATATATGCCGCAGCACCTAAAGCTTCTACATAATTTACCCCGTGATAACTTGGATCTGGGGTATTTAAGACTTTGAAGCGCTCGGGATATTTGCCCCAAGGGAATTTACCGCTATCGACAATCGCACCACCAATCGAATTACCATGACCGCCAATATACTTGGTCAATGAATGCACCACGATATCTGCACCATGTTCAAAAGGTTTCAGTAGGGCAGGTGTTGCAACGGTATTATCCACAATTACGGGTACACCATATTCGTGTGCGATTTTAGCAATGGCATCTAGGTCAATAATATTACCCAGCGGATTGCCAATCGACTCAACGAAAACCAATTTGGTTTTTTCATCAATTAAGCTGCGCAATGCTTCAGGATCTTGGTAATCAAAGAAACGCACTTCAATGCCTTGTTTTGGCAAAGTGTGGGCAAATAAATTATATGTTCCACCATAGAGTGTTGAAACCGATGCAATATTGTCACCCGCTTCTGCAATGGTCTGGATAGAATAGGTGATCGCAGACATACCCGAAGCCAATGCTAAAGCACCAATACCGCCTTCAAGTGCGCTCAGGCGTTGCTCAAGCACAGCGGTAGTTGGGTTCATGATCCGTGTATAAATATTACCCTGAACTTTAAGGTCAAATAAATCCGCACCATGTTGGGTATTATCAAAGGCATAAGAGGTGGTCTGATAAATTGGAACGGCCACTGCTTTAGTGGTTGCTTCAGGTTCATAGCCTGCATGTATGGCTAGAGTTTCGTCTTTATATGTCATGTTCTTCCGTCAACTTTTTATTAAATTTCAATAGAGTGTAACAAATAAATATATGAAGTAAACAAGGGTTTATATATTTTAAAATCATAAAAATAGATAAAGCCAACAATGCAGCCCGAGATAAATTGAGTTTCAACGAGGAAAAATAGACCGAATATCGCTGAGTTTATAAGCTGTCATTGTGGTGTCATTTGCTGAAATTAGCATAAGTAATTCCATAAATTCAGTTATTAAAAACACAATGAAAAAAGCAGCAATAAATAAACTGACCCACCATAAAACCACTTTAACTTTAGTGCTCTGTAGTTTACTGGGTTTGACTGCATGTTCTGATGATGATCAAGATTCAACAACACAGAAGACCTTAACCCAAAATATAACATTGGCATTTGGTGATGAAGCCTGTGTCATGGGGGGAACACGTATTCAGAGCGGTTTAGATCGCAATGGCAATGGCAAACTTGAAGCCAGTGAAATCACTAAAACAGAAAACAGCTGTAAGGCCAATTTGTTTGCACAAGGTGTAGCATTACCGTTTAATGTATTGGGAAGATACCCTGCGAATGGTACGACCATTGATAGTACATTTGATATTCGTCAGGGTGGTTTTGGTTCTGATGTTGCTGCGCATCCAAGCAATAAAAAGCAATTCTATGCATTGACCGATCGGGGGCCAAATGCAGATTTTACTGATAAATTATATGGCGCAGGTAAGGTTTTTGCCATTTCAGACTATGTGCCGAAAATTGGTTTATTTGAAGTTCAAGACAATGGCACTGTGAAATTAATTAAAACCATCAATTTAAAAGATCGCGATGGAAAAGACATCACGGGATTACCCAATACTTCTGCTTT